AAAAGAAATGTGAAGAGAGTAACTGATAATGTATAACATCAGTTTAGCATTCACAGTGTGCCAGGTTTTGTGTTAAGTGTTTATTACTCAAGACCATTCCCATAAAACTCTGTGAGGTAGTCTTCCCATCTCCATTTTACCACTGAAAACACTGAGGTCCTGTAAAATTGTTTAGCAGGTGCACAGTAACAAGATAGTTTGAAAATAGGCAGTTTGACTTTATAGTTTGAATTCTTAACCACAAAATTATATGGTCTAGGAATGGCAATAAGTGATTTTATTATAAAATCGGAGAGAAGGAAGATCTAATTTCTCTCTTAGGAGGACAAGATGAAGTTGCAAGCAAGATTTCACAGAGTAGCACAGAGGGTTGTACTAGGCACAAGAAGGAAGGCGAGTCCAGGCGGAGGGGATGGCACGAGGAAAGCACAGGGATATGGAAGTGGGACCTATGAGTTAGCAACTGATGACCAGGAGGAAGGATGTAGTCTGAGGCTTGTGGGAGTGAAGTAGATGAGTTAGGCAGGGGAAGTTATGGGTGATTTCAGAAATTTGAACTCTTTGAGGGGTTTGCACAGACGCAGGACAAAATTAGATCTTTATTTTTATGTTTTTAATTCTGATGACATAGAGAAAAATGGATCAGCCAGAATAGATAGGATGGTGACTTCCTTTCAAAGAGAAGAAGCAAGTCTCGCATGAATCCGGGATTATGACGTGAGAAACACTATTGTCCTGGAAGCAATATAAATTCATTAGAACGCTTTTAGAAAATAGTCTTCTGATATGTATGAATAGCCTTAAAAATGTCAGTCCTTTTACCCTAGTTATTTCATTTCTGGATATCAATCTTATGGAAACAACATAAAATGCAATATATGCCTTTAGACCAGCATTTGTGATAATAATTCAATGCTTAAACCCTATTGGTGAAATTGAATGAATAAGTAAATAAATGATTGAGTGATTGGTGGAAAAGTGTGGAAGCATTGGAAACCATACTAGAACTGGGTAGTTATGAATTCAGTAATGATAGTTCTGAAAATTATTTAAGAATGTAGAAAATTTTATGATAACTGAAGAAAAAAGCAGAGTAGAAAAAGGCACCCTATTATTATAGAATTATTATACCTCAGAACCATGTTTTAGATAAACTTAAAATAAATACATCAAATAATTATAGTAGTTTTGTCCTTCTGTTTTCTATTTTTGCAATAGTCTCCCATTTATTTAATTTTTTTTATAATGGAAAAAGCTAAAATTTGGACTGTTAATTTGGAACCTATCTTGAAGTATCAGAACATCAAAGTGACAATAATAAACAGAAATAGGCTTGGTGTTAAATTCTAGGCTTACATATTGGACACATTTAATAAATATCTACTGAATTGAAGTTCTAACCATTTCCTTTACCCCGGGTCAGAATTCCAGAATCCTATTGCAGTATATGAGAATTTTTACCATTACTTGAACTTATATATTATATAGACTTACATTAATGGGCTGAAAAATTGTTCCTTTTTCTAACTTCATACCTGAAGCAGTTGACGGGACTCTCTATGCAGGAGTAATTTTAAACAGCCAATCTCAAATAACATAGAAAATACTTTATTTCAAACATATATCATTTCATGAAGTTATTTTTTCCTCTACAAAGGGACCCTTTGTTGCTTTCCTTAATACTGGTATCAGTTTTTTACTCAGCAGTTCTTGTTCAAGCATCAAGGATCTGCTTTCACTGTTTTCAAATTTTTAATGAAACAGAATCCAGAGGCATATTTAACCTATTGAATTTGATGGGCTTTTGATAATCCTGATATTGTCCACTTAGAGGGTTTCGGTTCCTAAGTGTGCCAGCATATTAACTGAGTGCCACAGCGGGCATGGTTTGGTTTAAGATTGCTTCTTTTGGGGTCCAGGGTAGTATTTAGAAGAGAAGGTTGTTTTTCACTATTACTCTAATAAGTGGGAGACGTGTTTAAAGTTGGGGTGGGGTAACCTGGGGTCATCCTTTCCCTGTACTCCCATGCCATGAACACTGGCTCTGTGCTTCCATCACTCAGACTAGCCCTTGATGTTGTGTACAGCCCAAGTATCTGTGAATACAAGAGTGTGCATATTCCTGGTTCACACGTTGGTCACATGAACAACTGCTTCAGAGCAGTCCAGTTCTTTAACAATGCTTGCAGACTAAAAGAGTAATGGTGAGAGGACAGCAGTTAATTTCAAGGTTATTTTTATGAGACCATGGAGAGTTTAGACTGATTTAAAGTGTGCAAATACTTTCATGTGTCATGAGGATAGCCAGGGGTATATATATTTGAAAGGAACTCCCCACCAATTTTTCCCAAAATATAAAATTCCCATGGGAACCTGGTTGTGTAAGGGGTCTCTTTCATGAGTTGCATATATCACATTGGCTTGATATGTGATGATGTGATTAATTCATCTAGTACCACAAGGAATAGGATCTCCACAAAAATGGAACATAGAAAGATAAATTTAGTGTGCATATATGGTAAGGGAGTACGGATATAAGAAAAAGCCAAGGGCTTTAGGGCCCTCCCAAATCAGGGGTCACTTGGAGGGATCTAAAGGCCAGGGCAAAGGGGAGGGACATCAAAATTAAATCAACCAGTATCTACCAAGCACTTCCAACATGGAAATAAATGGAACAAGCATCCTTAGAGACCAAAAGAAAGAAAAATAGCACATGGCCTTTTCACTCAAGAGAGTTGCCATTACAAACAATATCTGGGAAAGAATTAAGTACTTAACAGCATTTATGGGATGTCTACTATGTGTTAGGGACTGCTTGACGTGCTGTGTGTGACTCTGATGAATGCTGTCTTCAACTGTACAATAGGCCCCATGACTCCATTCATTCTGCAGATCTAAAACGGAGCCACGAGGAAACCCAAGGTCATTGAGACTTGAGACCCAGGCCCTTGGACTCCAGAGTCCTGGCTGTCGAGCATTATACTATACTGCCTCCCAGACAGATTTTTTTATATTTCAGGGCCTCTGGGGAAAGGGGAAAGAAAAGCAAGTTTGCTTGGCAGAGCAGTTTGAACTGTGATGCCAGATTGTTTTCTCCTTCATTACCTGAAATCTTGTAAACTGTGAAAAATATGAAGAATCCTCTCACTTGTTCTAAGATATTTGACAAAGGATAGCTTGGACAAGAGCCTTATCACTCCAAACCTACCTATTTAGTCTGATTCTAAATATTCTTGGCTTGGGGCTAATTGGACCTTTGGGGTTTCTTTTTTGTTGTTATTGCTCTTAAGTCTTGGCCAAGAAATATTTTCTTTCTGGACTTGCTACCTGAAATGTGGGCAGCTGGGCAGTTAGTTGGTGCCCTGATCCCATTGGAGTTCTGAATTGGTGGCCCAGATCCTTTGGTGATACCTAATATTAAAAAAACACCAAGCTGAAGGCACAGGAGATTGCAGTGTAATGGATATGGTCAGAATAACAAGACAGGGAAACAAAAGCGAGTTTCGGTTGCCTTCGTTTGCTCACTAGTGACTTGACTTTCACTGTTGAGTTGATTCATAACCCCCTTCTTCACATATGAGGGACCCAGCAAAACATAAAATCTCTAACTCCAGTTTAGGGATTTTGAAAGCTGTGAGGGCTTGATAAGTAGCAGTACTCTATCACTCCAGGAAACACCAGCAACAAAGACTGGTAACAAATTTGAATTTCTCAAAGTTTAGATACTGCTCTGATGTCATTGTCCAACACTGTTTTATCTTCCACAGGTTTTCACTTCATTGCATTTGGCCTTTTTGGAGGGCGGCCTGACCCCCTGACCTTGTGTTTACAGAGAGACTGTGTTTCATCTGCATCCTAATATTTTCTTAAGAGTTGTTTGTGGGCCCTTCCTTTCTGCCCCCTCACCAGTGGCCAGCTCTCAGCAAATGTAGTAACTACTTCAGCTATTACACACACACAGTGTTTCAGCTCATTTTTGTATTCATTAATGGGTGTTTATTGAAAGCTTTCTATGTGCCCAAGCAGGACCTGGGTCAGGGTGAGCATGAGTATCTCCTTAAATTCCATACCCTAGTGCCTCTCTTACCCCACCCTAGTCCTGGCCTTGAGCCCAAGCACAGTGCAGGACCAGGGCCACAGCTGACAAAGGCATGGCCCGTACCCCCAATATACCCTGACAGTCTAGCAGAAGACACACAATTGAACCAATGGATATTGTTAGTATCTGAATCTGTAGATTAAGTCACACTGCACATTTTTTCCATTCCCTATAGCTGACAACATAATTAACTCAAAACAGAAAAAATATAATGTGGATATGTAATTTCCATTAAAATAATTTACACATTTTGCTGAAAAAAATTATTCAAGTATTCCTCTATCAAACTCTCAGAATGAGCCTGGGGAAGCATATTTTAAATGCTGTTATTTACCAATGACTGGAAGAATAAACTCTCTTTTTTGTCTTAATGAAAAATAAATAAATAAATTCAGAGGCAAAAAATAGGTGGGCCTTAACATCTCACTGCTTTGAAAGTTAAAATTGTAACCAGTCAGCTAGTTATTTCAGAAAGGGAGAGTTAATTCCCCTTTTGGTTTCTAAATTAGCATTTTGGAAATCATACTTCAAGTTCCTTTGTGATGATACTAAGAGGGGAGACAGGATGCTGGAATTCATCTTTGAATGACTTCATTCTGCAACTCAGCTTCTGAGCATGCACATGCTTCACCCTGCTTACTTGTATTCTCTCTCTTCTTGGATAGTAGGAGAGTCATCAGACTGTCCATTTGTTTGCCTCTATGGTGACTGTTGGTGCAGGTAGCTAGTATTTAGAAAGGGCCATTTGTTCAAAGGTGTTTATTATGTCAGGACTCTGATAGCCTTTGTTGTTTTACATGCATTCTTGTAGTTTTGGTCAGTGGACTTTTTAAGATGTACATGATTTAGAAACATTTTTCCATTACATTTTAAAAATATTCTTTCTTTATCTTAATTACAGAGCAAAGAGATTGCATTCCAACTTCATGAGGATTTAGTGAAGGTTCTTAACGATCTGTATACGGTAAGCACATCCTCCTTCTTTTGCAAGAATACTCAGTTTAGAATTCTGGTTTTCAGAAATGCTGCCCTTATTAGAACTCATTTCAAGATAGGGTATATTAGTGGATGCTCTTCTAGTTGAAGTGGAACCGAGCAGATACATGCACACTGTTACATTCTTTTGACACTTCCTCCCAAGTTGGGGAGACTGTAGTCAAACAAATATGTATATGCAGTTAGCAGATTTTAAGAAATTAGAGTAAGTTGTCCCAAAAAGACATGTTTTTAACTGGTTGGATTATATGTAACCTGTACCTATATTCAATTCCAGAATATTTTTTCAATTGTTATCATTCTAAAGTTAGCCATTCTAGAATTTGAGCAATTTAGAGTGGCTTTCTTTGGTGTCTTAATGTCTTTTTTTCCCCATTTCAGTTAAATTATTTGGTTAATGACTTAACAGATTAAAATTTTGGGGGGTTATCTGTATTTCCTTTTTGGCAACAGTTTGCTTTTCTGAATTTAAATTTTATTCTGGTTCTGCATATTACAATAAGAAATCAAACAACTTAAAGCTGTTAAGTAGAAAAACTGACACTGAGAAGTGACTAGTGGTTACCACAGGGAAGGGGTTGGGGCAGGTGTGGGGCATGGGAGTGATGAGGATAAAGAGGCACGATAATTCTCAGTCATAGTATAAGTTGGTCATGGGTACTGTAGTACAGCGTGGAGAATATAGTCAATGATTCTGTAACATCTTTGTACATTGATAGTAACCACATGAGAGAGGGTGAAGATTTAATAAAATGGGTAACTGCTGAACCACTGTGTTGTACATTTGAAACCAATATAAGACTGTATATCAATGACACTTCAATATCAAAAGAAAAAGAAAACCAATGGGCTTCCAAGTTGGAGTGACTCATATGTAATTTCTTTTAAATACCTAATGATCATGTTAAGTACAAATTTCTTTTGGAGGAATTTGATGAGTTTTTATTTTATAAGAAAGAATAACAGGAGAAATGAATAGTATTAGTTTGTTCTAACTCCAGGTATTTGCATTTTCATTGTACAAGATTATTTGAGTATTTATAGACAAATTAAACCTGAAAATTAAAACTGAAAATTATTATTAAAATGTTTCTTGATTTACAAATTCCATTTATTACCTAAAACCCATGCGTGTAAAGTGCAATTTTGTGAATTAAATTGTTTTTAATGCTCCACTGATGCTTGCTAGTTAAAAGAACCTGTAGCTTTAAGCTTCTATGACATGAATATTTATCTAAAGTTCTCTTTCCAAGATTTTTGTGATGTGGATAAAGTTATATTTTTATATAGCATGTTTGCTACTACACCCTCACTTAATAAATTGAATTGATAGTTTCTATATGTCAGTTCTTCCTTCAGAAACTTTTAGCTTTACATACAAAAGTCTCATGTTATAAGGTCATATTCATATAAAAAATACCTAATGAAGTTGAGTTTTTTATGATAAAGTTGATTTTTTTAGCCTGTGACTTGTTAATTTCTGATAACCTAAAGTATCAACCATTTCTAGAAATCCTGGATTTAGAATTTAAAACTTACATGAGCACTATGCCTTTGACACTTCTGAAGAATTCTGTGTCATCTTCCACTGAGCTGTTTTCTCATGAGGGCTTAGTGGCATTTCCCTTGTGAATCCCTTTACTCGTGCATTGTTTTACCTAGAAAGATAAATCAATCTCTAATACTTTAAAAATGAAATATGCTGGTTATCATGGCAGCATAGACAAGATCCTTTTGATTTATGGTCTGACACTAGTAGAGCAACAGTGGCAAAGACAAACTTGATCGTTGAAAATGAGAAAAATTGGTAGAATGTCATGAAGATTTTGTCTCAGTGAGGGACTGCATATAGTGAAATTTCTCCTGAATTCAGCCTACCAAATACACTTCAACATTTAGCAGACTTTGTATAGTTGAAGCAAGTGAGCTGACATGCACTAACAAATGACCTTCTGAGGAGGTGTCAGATCCTCAAAACTCTAGGCAGTATCAGTCAGAAAGCCTGAAGGAACCAGGCTTTAGGAAAGGCCACCAGAGTTTGAATGACCCTGCCGGAGTCATTTAACCTCTAAGAGTCAATAGAGGAATTAAGGGATAGAGGAAGTAAGCAATGAGGCTGTAATTAGGTAATCTGTAGATCACTTGGAGCTCTTGGGAAGAATATTTTACTTTAAACAGAGAGTATGCTCAGCTGAGGTTAGAGGTCATGTTCTATGGGGAGAGGCCTTCATATTACACACATACACACACACACACACACACTCTCTCTTTAATCTAAAAGATGGTGATATTTGGTCACTCCTGAACTTTAAATTCAGATACACAAAATCTGTGTTGTTCAAATGAAATCTGCCAATTATATACATTCAGTTTACATTCAGAAAGAAAGAAAAGTACTTAAACAGTGGACCAGGAGTTGGGAGCATGGTGGTTTAGGTTCCTTATCAACCATAGACAGGTCATGATCAAATAATTCTGAAATACATCATGCATAGAATTTTGTGCAACTGAAGAAATAAAAATGACTGCTAAAGTAACATACAATATGTGGTCTCAGGAGTTGAAGATGCTATTTAGTTGCCTTTTCAGACAATTATTCACCCCTCCCTTTCTTTCAGCCCTTGATACTCCCTGGGAGTTGGAAGTGAACATTTTGAGAAGTTCATTAACTTCCTTACACAAAAGGAGCGCTCTATATTAAATTAGAGCCAACGTTAGTGCAGCAGCCATATGTGTAGCCTTTCCTACCCAGATATATTTCCCTCACAGGCCTTTTGATTCTTCGAAACATTCTATCACAAGGCTTTGTCTTAAATAAAATGTGAAGTCGAGGAAGAATAGAAAGATGCCTTATGGTCATTTATACCTTAGGGCAAACCTAATTTGATCAGATCCTTTGAGTATGGATTGTGTGCATCAGGCATGTAGGCTGGACTTCTGAGTATGGGAGAGAGGCATCAGAGTGCCCCTGGAAGGGGAGGAAAGGCTTCAAAGTCATGCATCTACTTTTCTATATTTTTGCCTTCACCTGGCCTTTACTTGCAGAAACAAGGCCTCAAAACAGTTTTGAGCATCCATTTGGATTCTTAGGCCACCATAAAAGCCAGCCAAAGTAGTTAGGATTAGTTTAGCCTTGAGTAACAGAGACTGGTACATTCAGCCTCTTTCTCTCACTCTCACCCGAACAGCTTAGGTTGCACTGAAGCATCGCAAGGGCACATGGTCAGTTCACCTCTTAGTACACCTGGTGGGAAAGCTGGACACGGAGCTAATAGGAGTTAAATGCCAACATGTAGACAATTTCCTGTCTGCAAAGCCCATCAGAAATTACACACAAAAAAATGTCATCTTTTTCCAGCTCTGGAGGCAAAAACCACCCCTCTCTTAGTCATCAGGTGACCCTCCTGTCTTGCAAACACTGACCTTGGAGGAACCGTAAAGTGCGTTCTCACATCTGTAACCATGCTTCATGCAGATGGCTGAGACCAGGGGACTTGTGTGCTTCACTGAATTTTCAGGTTATATTTGACCTCAGTCTGTCACAACACACACTTCCTGACTTCAATCTCCATGGACAATAATCTAAAAGGTTTACATCTACACTTCTGACTTAGTGAAGAGAGTCGATTGAGTGAAGCTGGATCTTTCTTGGATGGATTAGAGTAGCCCTATGTCTGGGCATGGATTTTCACTGTCCAGGCTATAGATGGGGAGAGTGAAGAGGTCTGGGCCCTTCGCTCGTCCTCAGGACAGCTTGGAAAAGTCATTTGCTGTTTGTTTGCTGGTTTATTTTAGCATATTCTCAATGTGTGTATGTCTCTCCCATCAAAGTGGAATGAAGAATATGGATCCAACACTCTCTCCCTCTAAGCACATCGAAGCAATTGCATGTTAACCCAGATACCAGTGCATTTTGGAGGTGTGAGGAAAAAGATGCCAACACACAACTCTGGTCTGGAGACTTTCATACGTGGCAGTATTCACAGAGTTGCCTCCATGCCAGGCTCAGCACTCTCCGTACACTATTGAGTCTTCCCAAACAAACCTTTATTTGTGTATTTTTTTCTTCTGGCCTGTAAGGTTTCTGTTGAGAAGTCTGATGATAGCCTGATGAGTTTTCCTTTGTAGGTGACCTTTTTTTTCTCTCTGGCTGCCTTTAATACTCTGACCTTGTCTTTGATCTTTGCCATTTTAATTATTATGTGTCTTGGTGTTGCCCTCCTTGGATCCCTTGTTATGGGAGTTCTGTGTACCTCTGTGGTCTGAGAGGCCATTTCCTCCCCTAGTTTGGGGAAGTTTTCAACAATTATTTCTATCTGTGTATTTTTTTAATTGCCATTTTGCAGATGGGGAAACTGAGACCTGAGGAGCTTAAATAATGATTTCATAATTTCTGCAAGTACTTGATACATGTCTGACCTAGGTTTTAAACTCAGTCCTGAACAATTGCAGGGACCATGCTACCTTCTGCCATTCTGCTGATCATCTCAAGCTCCTGACTTGATGTGGTGTTGGTGTGGTGTCTACCACGTGCTAGTGTTCACTGACTTTACGAATATGTACTGGGATCACTTATTAACTTCCCCATGGTGCTAGGTGCTGGGGATACATCAATGAATGGGACAGACTTGGTTCATGCCTCAGTGGGGTCCACAATCAAGGTATACCAGATTGAATGTCTAGGGAATAAATAAATGAATGGATCGAACAAACCATAATTCAGCCCCTTCATTCCTTGTGTGGAGTCGCATGAGGTTAGCCTCTGACACATCTATAGTGCGTGCTGGTCTTTAACAATAATTGGACAGTGAACCCCTTGGGAATATAAACCATTCTGTAGTCACATACTATATATAACCAGGTGCACATGCCCAAATCTCAGAATTATAGAAAGAAAAGAGCTTGCTTTAAACATGAATGTGATTTCAACAAGCGAACTAAACTAAACTAAATAGAAAGATCCAACAGTTACCACCCTTTTCTCTTCTGA